GGGAGGCTGGGCGGGACCAGTGACTCAGAAAGATGAAGAGAGTCAGGTAGGCTTAGGGGAAACAAAGTCTCTACCTCTCCAAACTGAAAAACACAGTCCAGGTCCAACAAACAATCACTCTCAGTGGTGGGAGGGTGAGCAGGGATTGCATCTATCCCCTCGTATTCCACGTGAACTCCCTTCGGCACGTGTGGTATTGCTGGCTTATACACCTGGTCAGACGTGGTAATTGGCTCAGGCTCCAGGGCAATGTCAGGCTCAGTTGCTTCTTTTCACGATGGCTCTCCCGTCGCGGTGGGCTCTGACTCTCCGTGCGGTGGGCTCGAGCAGACGCTCCGTGCAGCGGGGTGGTGACTGGCTGGGCACTGGTTTAGCAGTGGGGCTGGTGTTGTCGTCAGCTGCTCTGACGGTAAAGGCTGATCCACAGGAAACCAGCACCCACTCCACATAGTCATAAAAGCTGCCTCGAGGACCCTCCATGGACAATGGTGACTGACGGGGACGAAGACGACTGGACAACAGTAGTGGCTGATGACTGAGGAGAATGAATAAATGCACAAAATCCAATTAAAAATAAAAAGCCTCTTAGGGCAATTTGGAGAGGAGGTGGGAGAGGGAGGCTGGGCGGGACCAGTGACTCAGAAAGATGAAGAGAGTCAGGTAGGCTTAGGGGAAACAAAGTCTCTACCTCTCCAAACTGAAAAACACAGTCCAGGTCCAACAAACAATCACTCTCAGTGGTGGCGAGCAGACGCTCCGTGCAGCGGGGTGGTGACTGGCTGGGCACTGGTTTAGCAGTGGGGCTGGTGTTGTCGTCAGCTGCTCTGACGGTAAAGGCTGATCCACAGGAAACCAGCACCCACTCCACATAGTCATAAAAGCTGCCTCGAGGACCCTCCATGGACAATGGTGCACATGTGGCGGTGTTCAGTCCGGCGTGCAGGAACGCGCACAGGCACTCGTTCGGGAAGATGGTCTGATCGATAAGACAGAGGAATACTTCCAGGTGTTCCTCGAGGGAGCGATCTCCCTGCTCAAGGCAGAGCAGGGTGACGGCAGTGATATGGTCCATGACAGGAAAAAACAAACAAAAAACAAAAACACTGACAAACTGAAAAATAAAACACAAGAAAGACATGCTGCTACTTTCTTTCTTGGGTCCCGTCTTTTGTCATGGCTACGTTGTGATAATGATTCAAGATTCAAGATTCAAGATTTTTATTTGTCACATATATGGTTATATAGAGAATACATGACCAGCAGTGAAATGTAAGTCAGGTCCGCTCCATGGACAGTGCAATTATTAAAGAATACAAACACAAGAAAATTATATATAAATATAGGTATATTTATAGGTAAAAAAGATACAAAAATAAGAATAAAATAAAATGCACAGGACAGTATACTGTAGACTTAATAAATATTAAGATGAGCAGGAATGTACAAGAGAAAACGTGCAAACAGGTTGTACAGGGTAGTTACACAGCAGCAATAGAGTTAAAAAAGTAAATAAATAAAATATTACAGAAATTGCTGTGTGCAAGTGGCAAAGTGAGAGCACGAAGATGAAGAAGATTATATCAAAAGTCTTTAATCCAACAAGGGTAATCCAAAAAGGGTAACCCAACATACAGGTAAGCATACATGCAGACATTAACGACTCAAGAACGGCCCACTAAAACTGAACACAAAGGAACTTAAATACATGACCAAACAAGGAAGATTAACAAGACACACCTGAACCAAATGACACAATTAACACAATGAAGGTAAACGGTGCAAAAAGGAAAACAAAGTCCATGAGGTCATGACATTTACATGGTAAAAAAATTAGAAGTGGTAATTTTTTAACAATGAAAATTGATCTAAAATATGTAATCTACTGTATGTAAATATATGTAGATTAGCATCTAAAGTCTGCAGACTATGGCAAAAATAAACCACAGACCTGAATGTGAAGCTGCATAAATGACTCCACCACATCTGGATGATCTCTGGAGCCTACAACAACATTTTCCTATGGTAAGAATGACTGTAAATTCATACATTAATGTCATAACAATTATCGTAAAATTGTGCATGTTGAGGGTATTTTTTATTTATTTCACTAGCCAACAAAAGCGTCTGATTACTGAGATAAAGTGAATAGTATTGGTAATATAATGCTGGTCACGTGATCTCAACATAGCAGCCACCATGCTTTTTCAAGGCCAGTCATGTACTTGGTAATATTTGTCATATTTACTATTCATTTCTTTAGGGGTAAAACTTTTAATAGTGGAAAAAGTTACTTGATATACCATTAAAGGGACAGTTCACCTAAAAATACCCCCCCCTCAAAAAAAAAAAAAAAACAAGAACAAAAACAAGCTGGTCATTCAGGTTTAGAACGATATGAAATGAAAATCAATGAAAATGATTTTTCGTCTGGAGATAAATATCCCTTTAATTGACTTTTTCTAAGAATTTGAATTGATTAATCACTTTAAATTCAGACCTTGATAGAACTCATTGTTAATATATTGATAGTGACTCATTCTAATCTCTTACCGAGCTGAAAAATGGATATGGTGATGTTGGTAATCAGCTCCAACAGAGCAGTGATTGGAGAAAAGAGATCCTTCTCACAGCCAAAAATGTGAACTAACTAGAGGGAAACATGAAAAGAAAAAACAAATGATATTTATGATGCTTGACCTATCATCAAGCAAATAACTGTATTATGTAAAGTAGACTGTGTCATTACTTGTCTTGTGAGGTCTAAAGCCGAGGCTTGTGGGTAAGCGCCGAACATCTGACCAATGAGCTCACAGAGCTGAGTCACCAGTGGTGCAAAGTCATGGAGAAGGGTCTTCAGTGATTTCTCAAAGGCAGCACACACCGCCTGAGATGAGGTGAGAGAAAAGTGAATCTTTCATATACTCACGCAAACACACACACGTTCACAAACACTGACCTCGACCACCTCCGGTTCATTCAGCCACTTGTTGAGAATGATCTGGATCAGAGGGAAGGCCTGCTGCAGGACAACCACCACCTGAGAAATGCCCAGAACAGCTGTTGGGTGTTCATTTTACGGGTCTGTTTGATTCAAACATGCATTCTAATGAACAATAGCTGATTGGAGTTTGAGTCTCGATGGGCTGTCATACCGGGTTGTTGTTGTGTGGCGGTGTTTGGACGGGCCTCATGACCTCCAATCTTTCGCTTTGCTTGTTTAGGTCAAATGTGGAGAAGAGATTGGCCAGCAGGCCGAGGATGTGGACTATAGGAAGCTTATTAGCAGAGCTGGGCTGCATCGAAGGGTAAAAGAGAGTAAAAATGCTGAGTAAAAATTAAACTGCTGCTTTATAAAGTTATGAGGTAGACAAACTTAAAGGAACAGTTCAGCCAAAAATGAAAAGTCTGTTGTAATTTACTCACCCTCATGTCATTCCAAACCTGTATGACTTTTTTTCTTCTGCAGAACACAAAATATTTGAAAGAATGTTTTAACTGTTTTTTATACAATGAAAAGTCAGTGGGATCCAAAACAACACTGGACACTATTGTCTTTATATTTTGACATTTTTCAAAATATCCTCTTCCGTGCTCCACTGAATTCAAGTTTGGAATGACATAAGGATTTAACAAACAAAAAAAACTTCTTTGGAACTATATTTATTGTGTACTATACAAATCAATTTTCTTGCTCCTCACCGGCTCATTGGCTAGTTTCTCTAGCTGCTGGATGTGAGGGGTGACCAGGGAGAGCAGCTTCCCCAGAATCTCGTCACTGGGCAGGGCTGAGAGCAGGAACCCCAGCGCCTGCATTATCCACATACACTGAGGACTCTGTACAGAAGACTTACAGTCAATCCCACTGTGAAATGACTCTTAAGCACGATCAGCTTCATGTCCGGTCCATTCATATAAATACAGATGAAAAATATATAATCAAAATTTCAAATTGAACTAATGATCTGTTTACGCTTATAAGATTTTCAGTCATTTTTGAATGATGTAATAAAAAAAAAATGGTTTCCCCAATCTAGGATTTTTTTTTTTTAGATATGCAATCTTAACAACAGCAACAACAAAAACTTTGTTAGAATAATCTAGGTTGGCTGTTCTCTGTCAAAATGTAATGAGAAAGACGGTAACACAGCAATTTTAAAAAATGTGTTAAATAAAATCTACATATCAGTCACAATGTTGAACAGACACACACACACACAGAAATGAAGGGGTGAGAATATTAAACATCCATAGTGCAAAACACACACACACACAATCTTACACGGACAGAGAGAGTGAAATGAACGGAAGTCTAAGTCTGTACCCAGCAGGCAGCTTGATATCAATTTGACGTCAAATATTAGTCTTGACAGAGATGCCGTAACATCATTTTAAATTAAGTTTGGACAGCAATTTATTCCAGTGGTAATTGGGTGAAAATAGGAAGTTAATCCCACACTGAAATTGTTTTAATGTATATGATGGCCAATATTTTTGACGTTCAATTTACACCAAATCAATGTCATGTCGTGTTTTTGATATCAGTTTTATTTGCATATTTGACCTGTTTTTGACGTCAATTTTGATGTCAATTTGATGTCTGTTCAACATCATTTGCCCACTGGGTAAGCATTACTGAAAAAAATAACACTTCAAAAAAAGACAAATGATAGCTGGATAATGTCAAAATCATTTCTACTACATATACTGGCCATTATTGTCATAACATGATTTTGGCCCGGCATGCTCAAATACATGATACATTCTCAATTTACTTAGAGTCATTGTATAAAAGTGTAGATTTTACTACAGTGAAGTTCCATAAGTTTGATTATTTGTTTTTAAAGGGATAGTTCACCCAAAAAATTCTGTCATCATTTACTCACCCTCAAGTTGTTTCAAACCTGTATGAGTCTCTGTTGAACACAAAAGAAGATATTCAAGACATTGACTTCCATTGTATATTTTTTCCATACTATGGAAGTCAGTGGCTACCGTCAACTGTTTGGTTATCAACATTATTCAGAATATCTTATTTTGTACTCAACAGAAGAAAGAAAGTTTTACAGATTTGGAACAACTTGAGGGTGAGTAAATGATGACTGAAGTTTCATTTCTGCTTAAACTATACTTTTAAACAAATGATGGTAAAAATAGAGAAATGTAATATATCTAAATGACCTAAAATCCCAAAAGAAGTACATAATTTTTCTGATACTACATCAAGAACATTAGTTTTACATCAAGTTACACTCTTACTGTCTCCCCGGTCAAAAATGTCCATGAATAGCCAAGGTGTGACTCTTTTTTTAAAAGCTTAGAGGGGGTTAGGCATTATACAGTGTAATCCTGTTTTTTATTTTTACTAGTGTAAGGTTACAGTTACAGTGTTACCAACACTAATCAAACACAAATGGATTGGACTTACTTTATGGATGTCTTTGACAAGCACTGCCTGAGACCAAAAAGACCACAGTGAGCTTTGTACATTACTCACTGACATTGGTTTGCTACAACTGTAGCACTTCTAGGCGAAATGTTTTTTTAAACCTGTGAGACGGCCATGATGTCACTGGCGTGAAGGTGGAGGTCATGTCGACATTCTCGGCAGATTCTCTTCAGAGCAGAAACACAAGCCACGGACAGTTCCGGGTTGGACAGACCATGCAAGACCACAGGCAGGACACTCGCCAACATGAGCGAATGATCGGCCAACCACTCGGCCAAAGAGCCTACAAGAAATCATGACAGCAGTCAATGACTTCCAACCCTAAGAATTAAACTTCACCATGAAAACAACTGAATCACAGCATCTATTGTATCAGTAGTTGTGTCCCAAATTATGCACTATACACTATTTACTTATGCACTATGTACTTAAACGTATAGTGTATGAATTTTATAAGGTTATTTTGTCATCCTGCATCAGAGTCTGACTGTATGTATTATCATTTAAAGAGACATGCACCGAAACAGGTCACTGTGAACAGAGCTGTTTTTGAAAAGGTAAAAAGGGTGTTGTTTTACTCGACCATTGAGGAATTTTAACCAAAGTATGTTACAGATATTTCAGGATGACCCTAAAGAATCATACCAGCTTGAGGAAAATGGGCATCCGATGTCCCCTTTAATGAATCTAAGACTTTCTGCTCCAATTTAAAGGGGTCATATGATGTTGCTAAAAAGAACATTATTTTAGTTTAGCTTTCACAGCGAAACACAGAGCCTTCACGACATGGCGGCGGCAACAACAATACTACAGCAAGAATAAAAGTTACGCCTTCTTTCTTTGCGTGAACATTTGGGCGGCGTTATGCAAATCTTCCCACATAGTGAGGTAGATATGTGGGGGCGTGTTAGAACGAGCCGTTTTAGGTAGGCGTGGCTGACTCTTAACTTTTATAAAGAATATCTCTTTGGATTTGAGACTTTAGTCTTTGCAACTTTACAGATCTTCTTTATGCACCAAGAGCTTGTAACACTCCAAAGAGAAAGGAAAAATTGAAATCGCATCATATGACCCCTTTAAGACCTTTTTTATTGCCTTAATTTGTGGAGGGCAAATTAAGACTTTTTAAGACCCGCAGAAACCCTGATTTGTAGAATACATTTGCAAGTTATGCTTACAAATGAATGAGTGTACCTATGGTGAACATGATGGTCTCAGCCAGCTGAACATTGTTTGCTGTGATGAGAGGAATCAGACCAATCAGTCCTGGAATGACGTCTGAGTAACTGACATCTACTGTCTCAGCAATGGACTGAAACCCAAACAGCAGAGCCTCTATATCCTCCACGGGAGAGAGGGAGATGACACAGAGATATTGTTCAATATAAGACATGACATATACACTGTATTAATAAGACAGTGCAACATTAGGACTGACTTGCCATGAGGAGGGGTGTGTTGTGTCTGTCAGCAGTGTGCCGAGTTTATCATACAGGTTTCTGAGGAGCTCTGGGCCCAGCAGCTCATACACATACATCAGAGTATCGGAGATGTCAACCCTGAAATCCAATTAAACTGGCTTATTATTGCATTATGATACAAATGAAAAATAAATGAAGACTGAATGGATCTCAAAGAAATAAACACTTTTTAGAAGTATTTTTAAGCAGCCTGCCTTGTAATATTAATGCTGTTTTTCAGGGCACCAATAAGTATTGGTGTATTAAACTTTGTTGTATAATTCATCTTAGACCATTTTCCATATATTGGACCTACAAAATGATGCACTGATAACTTAAATATACTAAATACATTTGCCCAAATACATTTCAGTTATATGCTATAAACATACTGTAAACAGCATGGCTGAAGAAAATAAATATATTTTTCAAATTGAAAATATACCGTATTTAGTTTAAACCCTCAAATGCCAAAATATATTACAAGATATACTTTATGGGGTTAATCAATTTTCATTCTTAAATTTTAAATCTTAAAAATGTATAGATAGTTTAGATATTATATATTAGATGTTCAAAATATGTATTAGGGAATAGAATTAACTAAACCTACAGAATATATTTTAAAGTCTATACATTTTGGGCACTTAAAATGGAAGTAAATGGGGCCAATTTAAGGAGAATTTAAAAGCGGAAATGTGAAGCATATAATTTTATACAATGACTTACATGAATTCTTCTGTTAAAACCTGTGCATTATTTGAGCTGTAGAACGGTTTCAATAAAAGATTAGTAAATGATTTTTACACTAAACTTATATAAACATGTAACCTGTTCATGTCTTGTCACTGCATTTTATGAATTGGGTCCATTCACTTCCATTGTAAGCACCTCACTATTTTTGCTTTTATCTATCTTTTTAAAGAAAAACAGTGACACATGGAAATGAATTTTTACGGTAACCAACCAAGAATATTCCTTTACCCAATTGTAATCTGTGATGCCATTATTTCCACTTGTTGATTATTGACTCTATTTATATCTTTCCTCCATTTGATGAGAGTATCCCTTAAAAACATTTAAAAAAGTGAATAAACAATTTTGCATTTTGAACTGTTCTTAAAAATCTAGTTTAACCTGTAGGTCCTGAACTGCTCTTTGTCATCTGCGGACCACGTGGCGTAGTCCTCATCTCTGGGGAAACTGGCCTTCTGCAGCAGAACATCCACCAGCTGGAAGTACACAGGTCTGTAGATCTGTAGATAGAGCGTCTGCCGCTCAACATCCAATGATGTTATATCGTCCTGAAACAAACAGTCAATTCAACACCACCGGCACTCAAAACATCATATCTGCTCCAGTTGAGTCAACGCAACACCAGTTGCCATCCAACTTGAGTGATTTTTCGGGGTGGTCTTGTACCTGTAGGGTGTACCAGAATGTGAGTGTGAGCGAGCTGGAGGTCTCATCCACAGGATAGTGTCCAGGTGTTCCTGTGCAGGACATAATCATGCTCACTAGAGCCTGAAAGCCCTGCCAGCGATCCACCTGCTCCAGAAGAGTCCTGGGGAGTTTGAGAGGGACAGAGAGAGGGAAAAAGGTTTCACCAAACAGACAAGGGCAGTCAGATGATGAACTGGCCTTCTTATAGACCCAGGCCATACGAGGTCACATAGACTGTTATTAATGGGAGATTAATGATGCATATAAGTCATTATGTCCAACCTGCAGTGCGTTTCTCCCAGAGCTACAGCAATGCGACAGATTCCATGAGATGTCTCCATATCTCCATCCTGCACTGCTTTCTTTAGCTGCTCCTGAAGACCCAGCACCTGAGGAACAACCTTCAGCAGACTGTCTGCAAACCTCCACACGCACAAACACAGACTATCAAAATTAGTATTTCTTACACAACCTTCTGTGCACCAAGGTTTTGAAATTTGTCAATTGACAATTACTTGTAATTAGTTTCCTTGTGTAAGGGAAAATGTAATCAGTTATCATTAATTATCAGCCAATCATCAATTATCAGCCAATATTGCATGCACAATATTGTTTTGTTTGTGCATAAAATTAGTTAATTTCTTGAAAAAACATACACGAACTGCAGGAATGTTGTTTGAATCATTTGTTTTATGGCACATTTCGAAAGGAATATTAATCTTTCATGCTAAATATTATCAGACTGCTTTTTACTGTGCTTCAATTAAATTTTCTTTATTATGTAATAAAGTAGTATACAGGTGTAGATTTATAATGTCTGCTATTTTTCCTTAATATGAAAATAATTATGACCTTATCAGTTTTGGCATTTGAACAACACTATGGCATTATGGCAACAAAATATGCATCAAATTCTATGCACATTTTATCAGAATATGTTCAAATGTTGTTCAGTTATCTATCAATTTTACTGCAAAAATTCCCCTATACATAAAACAAACACTATAAACAGTGGTAACCTGCAATTGTTTCCTTAAAGAGCCATTTCTACCTGATTTAACTCATGAATGAATATATTTAGGTTAATTCAGAGATATTAAATAATATTTCTAAATAAAATAAGTTCATTTAGATTTTACGATTTTTAGGTTATGATTTTTTGTACAATTCACAAACACTTTCTGTCTGTCTGACAGATAATACGCTCATTATATTTAGGCCTAAACTTGAGATTTATGTATTTGAATTACATATTAAATTTCAATCCATTTAAACAGTTTTAATATAAAGTAATAAACATGACAAAATGTGATGCATATTTGTCAGTCATACATAAATAAGACGGGTAAGATTTCTGCACTCAAAAAATCATGGTATAGTTTATTATTATGTCTTTTTTTATTTTATTTAAATAATCATATTCAAAATGCATTTATTCAAATTGCTTAAATCTGCAAATCTATTGTGAATCCATTGTGAAAACAACTAAATTTTTTCAGTTAAAAAGTATGAACTTGGTTAAAATATGACAAGTTGTTAAACAAGCAATAATCAGTTAGTTAAAATGTATGAGATTGAAACAAATTGGAGTTTTTGGTGACATAAACCTATATTTAAACCTGGTTACTTTGTATTTAAAACACATTCAGTTTGTTAGAAATCTTGCCTGTTCCTTACATGTTTCATTTATGTATTACTGACAAATATACCTCATATTTATATAAGTTAGTTTATGTTAAAACTGTGTAATCCAAATGGATGGAAATTTCCTATGCAATTCAAATACATAAATCTTAAATTTAAACATTGATCTGGCAAGAGAAAGGAAATAGTGTGATGCTCAGGGAAACAGACTGAACTATTAATATACGACAGGAACTAGTGCTTATTTTAACAGTACATACTGCTGTGTCGTATCTCACCTCTGACAGTCAGGCTGTGAGATGATGCTGACGATGGTCTCTACAGCTGTGTCAAACAGCTCAGACTCCTTCAGCAGAGCAAAGCAACTCTCCAGCAACCCCTCGCTGTCTTTTAAAGCGATGCCCAGCGTGAGCCAGGAGGACACACATCTCAGCACCCGCTCTCTGACCGGACAGGGTGCGTCCGGCCGCTGTAGTAACTGCTGGAACAGGGAGCAGACCGAGCTCCAGTCCACAGCAAGAGCGCTTCTCAGCTGGGAACGCCGAGAGGCCGGGATCCTGCTGCTTTGAAGCTCCTCGGGCAGAACGGCGAGAAGCTCTAGAAGCGCGAGGCATCGGGCTTGACCGTCAGCCTCCGTCACACCCTCTCCAGTTTGGAAGGCACACAGAAGGTCTGGTACTGCCGTCGGCCACGTTTCGGGTAGGACGTGAAGGACCAAAGAGGCCAGAGCGACACAGAGTCTCGTCAGCACCATCTTAGGCCCTGATGCAAACTGGCCGACCTGAGCAATGAGCTGCGAGCGGAGCGAGTCTAACTGACCGGGCGGGAGGTCAGACCAGTGGCGGGAGATTTTAGCATGCAATGTGCTTGCCCCAAAGAACTGGATCTCAGGAACCTAATTTGAAACCAAATAAATAAGAACTATGAATGTAATGCAATGAAATTCATACATTTTAAAGTGTGGTGTAGTCAAACCCACTGCTTACTTTGTCTGGCTGGAGCAAAGCCCAGCAGAAATGCCAGGCTTGTGGTGATGCTTGGGCTTGTGTGAGCCACTTTTGGGCCACATTCTTCTTGTCCATATCAGGGTCATAGTAAAGCTGCTGAAGAGCCTACAGAACATTAAGAGACCAAAGATGGTTCCTATTATAATTACACTACTTGTGAAAAGGTTGAAATCATTAAGAAAGAAGTCTCTTATGCTCACCAACAAAAAACAGTAATACTTAATTTAAAAGAACAGTTTTAATTATATTAAAATGTCTTTACTGTCACTTTTGGTCAATTTAATGCATCCTTGCTAATAAAAGTATTAATTAAAATTTTTTTACTTAACCCCAACTTTTGAATGGTAGTCTGTCATGGTTTCCACAAAATTATTAAGCAGCAAAAACTGTTTTCAACATTGATAATAATAGTACATGTTTCTTGAGCAGCGAATCAGCATATTAGACTGATTTCTGAAGGATCATGTGACACTGAAGACTGGAGTAATGATGCTGAAAATGCAGCTTTGCATCACAGGAATAAATTACATGTTAAAATATATTCAAATAGAAAACAGTTCCCTATCGATACTTCACTCGTACTGCGTCGCTAGACGCTTATGGGGAAAACTCCTTTCTCCGATAACTGAAGCCCTTTTAATAATGCAGTGTAACTGCACGGCCATTGGTTGATTGGTTGACCACTTCAATGATGAGGTAGCGGAACTGCATGAGCCTATGGCCACGAAGCCCACTAGAGCCCGCCAGAATGGGCGGGGCCATCTGACCATATAAGTGGGCATTCTGACAGAATCCTCAGATTAATTCTCCTTCAGCGACGACAATCATCTCCTCGCTGATCTAAGAGACTTGAAGCCACTCGCCGTTGACACACCTTAGCAGCAGATAGAGGCTGACTCAGCTCGTCCCCTGCCGCCATCCAGCGAGCCTAAAAAAGCAAATTTTATAGAGCAAATTTGCAGTGTTGTTGCAAATGCCGCGCCATCATTGCGCCTCATGCAGAACTTCCCTGCACGCTGATGACGGCCACTCAGAGTGCGTTTCCTGTCTGTGTAAGTCCCACGCAGAAGCCACTCTCACAGAGATGGAGTGTTCTCACAGCAAGAACATGAGTCTCTCCTTTCTGCGTGCTCGGATCGCTTTCTTTTCAGAGAGTGACTTCGCCCTTCGCGCCCTCGCATTTCATTCCTCCCAAGAGCTTATGAGGAAGAAACAGCGGGGAAGAAGAACACAGTGCCCAGATGCGAGTGAGCTCACGCCGGCTCAAGCCCCGCGTGCCTCACGCTCACCACGCAGAGATGACTCTCCCGTTCTCTTTTCCCACCCAGACCAGCATCCCTCACAAAATCATGGCGTGCTCCCTACTCTGCTCGCCTCTGTACGTCTGCTTCATCCGCCCTCACCTCCGTCGACGGCGCTGAAGAGGAGGGCTACGAGAAGCTGCCTCCACTGGATGAGTCAGTGGCCGCGCACCTTTGCCTGCCCACTGCCATCGGATGGAAGGCTAAGGTCTCCCAGCTATCCAAGCCGTGTATGACTACTTCGGACCTCGCTGGACGCGCCTACTTCTCAGCTGGCCAGGCGACTTCGGCGCTTCACTCTATGGCCGGGCTCCAGGTCTTTCAGGTCAAACTCCTCCACTGCATGGACGAGTCCGGACCTGACCCCACGGCTTTCAAGGAGCTGGAGGTCAATGGCCAGTCTAGTGGTGCTGGAGCTCCACTTATGGCTAAACCTGACTGAGATCAAGGGGCAGAAAAGGTTCCCTTCCTCGACTCTCCGGTCTCCCCTACGGGGCTTTTTGGACTTGCCGTCGATGGCTTTGCAGAGAGCTTCACCTCCGCACAGACGCTACCCGTTCCCGAAGCGCCAAGGACCCCGGCCCAAGCTGACGCTGAGGCATTGTCCTGATCTGCGGGACAGGAAGAGGAAGGGGCAAAGTCTCACTACAGCCGGACCACCCCTCAAACAGCCTCTGTTATACCTCTAAGCACCCAGTTCAGTTCCGGGTGCCGACAGCAGTATGTTTGTTGTAAATGCTGTTGTATATGCTGGGCCCGTTCAAAAAGCGCCCACACAACCATTTGCTGTTATAGCAGGCAAAATAAAACACAAACATTCTCAAAAACAGAGAAAATTTCTTCTTTCACTTATCACGAGTGTCAAGTCCCCTCACGGCGACCCACCACCCGAACCAGCCCAACCCCTTGCCTTGTGGGCCAAGGCCTGGCGGGCCATCCCCGGAGTGTCAGATAGGGTTTTGGGGATCATAGAACGAGGTTATTCTCTTCAGTTCGCTTGGAGACCCCCGCACTTCAGCGGCGTGGTTCCCACCTTAGTGCAGAGCAAGGACACTCGGGTCCTGCACTCCGAGGTGATGAATTTACTGGCAAAAGGAACGGTGGAGACGGTTCCGCCAGCTCAAAGTGAGTCAGGCTTCTAGAGCCGCTACTTCCTCATCCCCAAAAGGGGATCTCAATCTCAGGCACCTGAACTGCGCCCTCATGAAACTGCCGTTCAGGATGACCACTTTGAAGCAGATCCTCTCGCAAATATGCCCAGGGGACTGGTTATTCTCTCTGGACCTGAAAAAAACTTACTTTCACATCACAGACGATTCTTGCTTTTGAGGGAGTGGCATATCAATACACGGTCCTCCCCATCGGACTGTCCCTGGCTCCTCGCACTTTTATGAAGTGCATGGATGCAGCTCTCTCCTCTCTGAGAAAGATGGGTGTCCGCATTCTGAACTACCTCGACGACTTGCTCGTTTTAGCCCAGTCAGAGGCTGAGCTACTATCTCACAAATCCCTCCTCCTCAGCCACTTGGAGTGCCTAGGACTCAGGGTCAATTTTGCCAAGAGCTCACTGTCCCCCAGCAAACGAATCTCGTTCCTGGGGGTAGTTTTCGACTAAACCCAAATTAGGGTGATGGTTGCGCCAGATCGTTCACTGGCCATACAGCAGCTGGCGGCTTCCTTCAAAATTGGAGCCTCTTGCCCTCTCAAGACGTTTTTAAAATATGCTAGGCCTCATGGAATCCGCATCACCAGTGCTACAGTTGGGCCTGCTTCGCGTGAGGCCCCTACAGTACTGGCTGAAACCGCAAGTTACCCCCCAGGTGTGGAGTCATGGACGCCTTCGAGTCAAGGTGAACCAGGCCTGCGTAGCAGATTTGGCCCCTTGGAGAGATCCTCAGTGGTTCGAGTGGGGTGTGACCATGGGTATTGTCCACAGAAGGAAGGTTGTCTCGACAGATGCATCCAATACGGGTTGGGGAGCTCTGTGCGAGGGCAGATCGACCTTCAGCTCCTGGTCGGACATGGAAGGATGGGTACACATCAACTACCTCAAAATTCTGGCACTATGTCGAGGCCTTCAGACCTTCTTACCAGACCTGAAGGGACACCATGTACTGGTCCGTTCGGACAGTATGACAGTAGTGTCTTATATAAATCACCACGGCAGGCTCACCTCGAAGCGCCTTCACGAGATGGTAAAGCGCCTCTTGGAATGGGCAGAACTTAACTTGAGCTCATTGAGGGCAACACATGTGCCGGGCATATTGAATCAAGGAGCAGACATGCTGTCTCGGAGCAACGTCCCCTAAGAGGAGTGGATGCTCCATCCGCAAATGGTTCAAAGAATCTGGGAGATCTTTGGCAGGGCAGAGATCGACCTCTTTGCCTCAGAAGACAACTCTCATTGCCCAACTTACTTTTCGAAGGACATGGACGCGTTGGCGCATGACTGGCCCAACCTCCTCCTTTACGCTTTTCCCTCGATTGCTCCCAGGTAATCAGGCGAATCAGGGAACACAAATGCAAGGTCCTCCTAGTGGCCCCGCTCTGGAGGAATCAGCTGATAGCAGCCCCCTGGCCCATTACCCTGAGACAAGACCTTCTCTCTCAGGCGAACAGGACGATTTGGCACCCCCAGCCCGAGCTGTGGGGTCTGCACCTATGGGCTCTTGATGGGAACCTACAAACCTCCCAGAGAGTGTCTTAAATACTACCTCACAGGCTTAGAGCCCCATCTACGAGATACCTCCGTCTTCTCCGCCTGGTGCACAACACGCGGCAAAGACTCAACTTCCTGTGACATATCGGTGATATTGTCCTTCCTCCAAGAGCTGTTGGATAAGGGCCGTTTTCCTTCCACGCTCAAGGTCTATGTAGCAGCTATAGCAGCTTTCCACGATCCTATAGCAGGACAGTCAGTGGGCAGAAACAACTTGGTTGTTCGCTTTCTTAAGGGATCCAGGAAGCTTAATCCACCTCAGCCCCTTACCGTTCCTGCATGGGATCTGCCCACGGTCCTGAGGGCCCTTAAGGGTTCCCCCTTTGAGCCGCTACAGTCAGCAGACCTACGGACTTCTGGGCTCTGAGAATTTACATTGAGTGTTCTGCTGCATTCAAGCAGTCGGAACAACTCTTTGTATGCTTCGGTGGCCGCACCAAAGATAATTTCTCGGTGGTTAGTTGATGTTATTGCACAAGCATACTCCTCCCTGGGCCTACAATGCCCCATAGGAGTAAGAGCACACTCCACAAGAGATGTAGCCTCCTCTTGGGCATAGTCTAGTGGTGTGTCCATAGCAGACATTTGTGTGGCGGCCGGCTGGGCCTCGCTGTCCACCTTTGCCAGGTTCTATCATTTGGACGTCCCGGCCTTATAGGCTCGGGTCCCTCTGCGAGTCTGTGAAGTTTCAGCTCAAAATATCCCACAGATCATTTTGAAAATGCCTATTTTGAGTGGAAGCAGAAACACGCTGTTTTTCGTGCCTGTCTCTTTAATTGCAAATGAGCTGCTGCTCCCCGCCCCCTTTTCCAGAATAGAGCTGTGCCTTTACAGCTCGTACCTGCTAAAAAACATCTGTTTTGGTTCTGATTATCATGTTTATCGCACTGAAACCATGCGTTTTAAACCGGATTAGTTTAAACTTCTGATATACGTTTTCTGAGTGCACACATCTGAAGCACACGCACAGAAAGCGGCTGTCACAGCATGTGAGTACTAAACTAAGTTCTCATTCACAAACAAGTTTACGTTAAAAACACACATGAGTTACAAAAACAGTCGGTTATGTCTGTGAAGGTAAACAGCTGGGAAATAAATTGCATGTTTATTTTAGATCTAAATAGTGTTCTGTGCTCGTCTGTGCAGACAAAG